TGACTTAGAATGCTCAACTAGTGGAACAAGCCAAACATATGGAATGATATATATTGTCTTAATTTTTTTTCTTTCTTGAATGAATGTGTTATATTTGAAAAATCAGTAATTTCTTTCATTGATATGTATATGCAAATGGTATATATGCAGACATAAGTGGACAAATTATAGAGGCTAATTTCTTACTTGCAAGCTGATCAGGAAATGGAGGAGGAGCAAGTTGGCATGAACCCACAGGCATGAGCACCTTCTGCTTCAACCTCCACAAATCAGGCTTGTAAATCCAAGAATCCCCTTCATGCCACATTAGGTCATCGCACCTAAAAATCTCCGACATCGGGCCACACGACCCCACGAACACGGCCCACATCCGCCTCCCGCTTTTCACCAACAAGTTAGCGGCCGCCAAATTTATTTGCAACCTAAGAACGTGCCCAAAATCTCTCCCGATATGCGTTTTTACTGTTTCTCCACACGGGGCATCGGCCATCACCACATCCAAATCATTGTAGTTTTCGAACTCCGGCATTGGAATGTGAGGGCACTCGGAAAGGCTCTCGTCAATCCACTCTGGGAATAAGTGGGCCCACTTGACGTCCCTAGAGACTTGTTTGACGTGTATATCGATCATCTCAATCGTGTCCCCATACAAGTGCTCGTGGTTTTCGACGGCTGATGATGATGTGTTTGTGAGGCGAATTCGACCCACCTTTAGCTTTTTTCTGCCGTTTGTCCTTCTCGCAATGACTTGGTACCACCTGGGGGTTTTAGCCGATGATCTCCTAGAGAGATGTTTTTGTAGAGACTCATGATGAGCTGATTGATTTTCTTCAGGGTTCTGATGAAGCTTGTCATTGTGTAGTGTGGTGAGGAAAAGGAGGGTGAGGGAGAATGTGATGAGAGAAAAGCTGAAGAGGTTTGTTGTTATCATTGGTCTGTGTTGTTTGGGTAATCTGATCTTGTCTTCTGCAAAAGGCTTTAAGGACATATTTGTGCAAAAAGAAATATTATTAACTAATACTCATGTCATATGTTTACTTTCCCTAAATTCCTTGAAATGTTTTTATCCAAGAAGTGTTTTAAATGCTAAAGATTTCATTAACCTGCAAAAGGAAGGTAGAATTGATCATGACATAAAGGAAATTTGAGGAATGCACATTGTCCATTGTCCATATCTATATATGTAAACAATGTGCAAAATGTACATGTGAACATTAGTCATAATACGAATTAGTTTCCATTTAGAAAGAACAGATACATATCAGTCACATTTCATCTCAAAGACATCAATTTGTAAAATCTTTATCAGTCAAATTTATTTCAAAGACATCAATTTCTAAAAACGTTATCTCAAAGTCGTCGATTTGTAAAAACTGAAGTGGAGTTTATGTCAAGAATATCTTGTCTACTTATATGCCCATCACCTGCATATTTCATTCTTTACCTGTGAATTCATCCTTTCATACAACCTAATAAGTGTGACATACTATAATCATTCACATCAGTCATCATATGCATATTCGTCATAGCCACTTAGGATATTCATCCGCGGTCCCATGATGCATACTGGACTAGAATCGAAATCATCAACATAATCTCAGTAAAAAACAAAGAAGAGAGTTCCCTATGTGATATCGAAATCTGAATTAGTCTATGATTCTTAGTTCATGCACATAAAACAGTAGATTAACAAATTCCATTGTTTCAAGCGTAAAATGTTTGCACAAATACCAATGTGAACAATTGGTTAGTCTTCAAGTTAATGCCAGAAGCCACTGATCAAATGACTAGAAAAGGATTAATGGATAATGACACTATTAGGGAGGACAAGTCCTCAATACATATGAAACTTGGCCTTGGTTTTCTCGAACACTTGCTCTGCTATAACGGCCTCGTTGCCGTCAGCTCTTTTGATTTCTAAATTAGCCTTTTGATAGAAACCGGTTCCTCTAAGTGCATCAGCAATGAAGTCATCAAAACCGATAGCAATTGCAGCTTCTGCTTTAGCTCCATAAACCAATCTCTGGAAGAAATTGGGGGGTTTATCTTAAATTTAATATTAACAAAAAACTGGGAAAAGAATAATGTTCGACATAGAAAATGAACTTTAGCACTCCACCTTGATTCTGGAAAGATGTATGGCACCAAAGCACATAGGGCATGGCTCGCAAGAAGCATAAATCTCGCAGTCCGAGAGCTCCAGCCTGTTGAGCTTCTTGCAGGCCTGAAAAATATGCACCAGCTTGAGAAGCTTCAACAATTATGGTAAGTGAAACCAAATTTAATGGACCAGAAAATGTTGACATATAACTTCCAAGTTTGAAAAAGAGGGCAACTGCATAGCATGATGAAAGGATTTCATAACTTAATATAAGAATTTCATGAGGTACTGTTATGATACTGAGGAAAATATAATAAAATTAAAACGATATACTTCTGAACTGCAGGGGGGACAGGAAAACATTCTCAAGGTCATCCTACGTAAGCCCACAGCAAAAAATAATTATTCTGAAGCTGAATTCCTACAACTATGTCACATTGAATTTTCTTCTGACAATCTCCTATGACTAACACAGTTGAGTCTAGCAATCCAGAAAATCGTGCAGTCCAAAGTTACTGCATAAACCTGGCAATCACAAGAACTATAGATCTCAGAGATCAAAGTGGTTATCAATAGGAAATGTGAATCATTGCCGTCGATATATATAAGGAGAATATGCACACAATGAAACAAACTATAATATAATTGAATGACTGTAATAACTATAAAACAAGAAGGCGGTGGACTTTTTCTCTCCTTTCTTTTTTTATTTTTTTAATATTTTCTATTCATTACTAGTGAGATCTTTCATTCTATTTGAATACTCCTTCCTCTGGTAATCTTCATAATCTTCTTGAGGGATACTTAGGACATGAATGTATGAATGTGCCACATAGAACTTAACACATGAATGAGGTGATTGGATAATAATTTTTTCTAATTTTCATCTCACTGGAGAAGATGCTCAAAAAGTACACTATTCACTCATCTCAGTTTTTTCTCCTCAATTTCACCAATATAATTTTTAAATAAAAATCAATTATCACTACGCCTTTGCGTAAAAGTTACTATTAATCTACTCACAGATTTATAATTACCATTCATTATTTTATTGTTATCATATGACATCAACTTAAGTTTTTATATTTATATCTCACATCAATCACACTTCCCAAAATCTCCTCAAAATATTTTTTTTCAAATTTTCTGTAGCAAAAAGATGTGTAGCCGACGAAAGCATAGTATCCAACTGCACCTAACTTCTTAGAAAGAAAAAATGGAAAATCTAATTACAACCCTACAGATATAATATAATCCCTAGAAATGTGAAAGTACACTAACTGTTCAAGTTAACCTATATAGTCGACATTCCTGAGTTACAGATTTTTCCACAGGACACATCCCTTCAGTCCTATGCTTAGTTTTTAGTTAATCAGACACTTTTTTCAGCACGCATTTTTAATTCACACATCCAATTTTCTAACGTATTTTCTAACATTGCCGTTCTAACCTCTCTTATTGCTGTAACCTCAGCATGAGCAGTAGGGTCCGTCTGCTTGAGAACCAGATTGTGACAGCTTACAACGACTTCATCATTGAGCACCACAACAGCACCAAAAGGACCTCCATCTCCACATTCTACACCTCTGTAAGCTTCTTCAACAGCTCTTGTTAAGAATTTGTGATCTCTATCCTGAACAGCTGTGACAAGAAAACAATATAGTTAATATTACTCGATCAACTAGTTTCTTGCTTCCAGAAACCATCTCAGGAAAAAGGCCAAACAAAAGAATGATGGACACGAGCAGTACTAAAGGCATGGTAAGTTATATCTTCAAACAAGTTAGTTCTGTAACCAAAGCCTCTACATGGCAATTGTTTGAGATACAATATTATAAAGGTACCTAAAGAAATAACATTTCTTGTATGAAGAAGTCCATTAGTGTATTAAAAACATTAGGCCTGTAGGCAAAAGCTCTTTTGGGAATCAAAACATTCTTAGGCTCACATCATTGACCTACTTTGTACCAGCGACTAAGTCAACTAAAATATATCTCCATGTACAATATTCATTTATGGATTCTACTTCAGGATCATCTAAAATCTATCTCAGTCTATCTCAAAGTCTGAGTGATTTTTCTTTCTTCACCAATAATAATAAAAAAAAAAACTACGACTGCACCTAATTGTGTTTTGATCACTTCAAAGTGCGCTTATTATAAACCTCCTATCAGTAATCAGCTTTAACTGTGGTCTCAATGACCGGATATAAATATAGTGGCACCTGTAAGTAAATCAGGTCTCAAAAAGATTTCTGTTCAATTAGATTATAAGTACTTTTAATTTTGGTGCTAGAAGTTACCATACCAAAACCAGAGGAAAAAGAATAAGAAAAGAAAAGAGGAACAACATTACCTTCTTGATGACCAGCAAATGCAGAAGCAACAGAAATAGTTCCATCTTTGGCCTCAACAACTAATAAAAAGAGAGAAGGCAGTCATAAACTGGCAATAAGCAGGAATGCAAAATCTAAGGCACATGGTATCATTTTAAAATGGCAGCATTTATCCAACATTCAAGCACCATTAAAATAAAGCAATGAAAATGTGGGTATCACCATAATCACGCAATAGTTAGTCATGCAGATTGGGAAATGTCAGAACCAGCAAAGAGTGCTGTTTGTGTTCTGAACACCCCCAGACCCGACTAAATTCTATATGACACAAATTGAAGTATTTGACTGTTATAACTATTATTCTACATAAATGTATGATAAATGATTATATACAGAAAGATAAGAAGCAAAACCAGAAAGACCAAACAAGAAACAAGAAGCGAATAATTAAGTATAACGAATAACAATAACAGAGACATATAAAAAGGAAAACACATAGTTTTTCCATTTCTTTTCCTATCAGCTCATAATATTATTTCTGCTTATGTATATTATTAGGTTATACCTCTGGCCTCGGTGATGCATTTATGTGTGTGTGTGTGTGTATACATATATAATTTGTAACCAACAATCTACTAATTAGCATCACATTTGCAAGTAAAGCAAATTTTGTGCTCCAATTTCAAGTACAAGAAATGAGGAATTGTTACTAGCTTCTTGATGACCAGAAAATGCAGACGCAACCGATACAGTTCCATCTTTAGCTTCAACACCTATAAAAGATGAAGGTCGTCAAAAATAGCATTCAATTGATCAGCAAAGTAAACACTCGTGGTGCTACCTCTACACAATGCCAGAGCTAAATGAGTGTCCAATCACATCCAGTATGTGGCAGGGATAAAAAAGCCCGTAAAAAATATACATTCAAATCCCCAATGGAATGTTTTTTACACTTCACATGAACATTCCTTTCTTTTCTGAAACACATGAAAGAAACTTATGCCAAGTGAATTATAGAGGGATATGTTAAGGTAGAACCTGAAAAACTTTAGCACATAAAAGCTACAAAGTATAAAACAATACAAAAGTTGAATTACCAATCGTATATGGAAAATACACTTATCAAAATGTGCAACTGGGCTTGAAATGAGAAAGAATTTGCTGGGATCAAATCAATTACACAACATCTATCACATTACCAACGAACATGAATCAATACATTGATCCCAAAAAGTCCATAATCCATGCATAATGAGTCAGATCGTCCAAACCTCCCCAACTTGCTGCATCACCAGTTATAACCAACAGGACAAGACTTATCACATCACAAACCAAATATTCCCAGGGTACTAAACATCTCCACACACTATATCGTGGACATCAGAACTTAACCATGGCTCTAAAGTGGACTGTAATTACCAACCAGACATTTTCAGAGAATTATATAAATATCAAAAAAAAAATACAGTTGCATGCCTAGTAAGATACAATAAAAAAATAACAGGATTCTTTAATTTCGCTCCACCGTCGCCCACAATCAATCAAAACGCTGCAAATTAACCACACCAAGCACAAGCAAATTAAAACAACAAAAAAAACTATCAGAATACTAATAAAATCTACAGACAAATAACCATTTGAGGAACAAGAGCGACCATAAGAAGAGAGATGTAATTCACCTTTGGTTCCTTCCATGACGAACAACAAGCGAAACGGATCGACTATGAAAATGATCTGCGAGACCGGAAATGATGGAGAAAGTTACTTTGTTGATGACTCTGTTGATGCGCTCTGCCAGCGTACTCTGTGCTGTTATTTATATGCAGCGGTGGCATTGCATTTACAGTACGCAAAGTCCAAATTGAATACTGTGGCTCTAACACTCCCACGATAAATGTAAGGGAATTTCTTTTGGTATTTAGGGGACCACTAAATAATTCAAAATGAATTTGGTGACTTCTTATAAATTTCATGAAATTTTAATAAAATGTAACAGAAATCTAAGTAGGGAATCTTTATAAAATTTCACGTGAGAAAATTGTATAGAATTGTGAGTATTCACAGCATATGATATTATACAAAATATCCATAGAATTCACAAAAAAAATATACTATAAGAATTTTCCAAGTTTGAAGAATTAGGGCGTGCTTGGATATAAATGTTCAAAATGAGTTTTTTTTTTTTTGTTAACCAAGTTCGATTTTGAAAAAGATTGTATGATTAGTTACTAGTGAGATTTTGAGTTTATATTAAAATAATATTTAAAATAAAATAATTAAAATTGTTTTGATGTAAAAGTAGGAGATAGATAATGTAAGTGATGATTAGTTAAAATTATTTAAGTGGATCAATAGTAATTCAAAGTTGATGTGATAGGTAAGTTTGATTGATTGGTATTATTAAATTATATTAATATTATTTAAGATATTGGAATTGAGTTAAAATTAATTTAAATTTTGAGTATGAATTTAGTATAGATTAAGTTCATTTATAAACAAATATATCCTCAGACAACCAATAATAAAATCTTGATAGTAAGAGGAAGCTTTATTTAATTTTTAAGAATCGATGTATCCAACACTTTGATATTGTTTTGTTATTTATTTATTATTATTCTTTGGTTAAATGGAGTTATTTCTTATCCCTCCTATATAATTTAAAACGTGCTGAGTTTAAGTGATAGGCTCGCATTTTTCGGGTTCCTATGTGGCAAAATTACATGGTAGGCTAGGGTAGATTTTAATTTACTTCCAATCCAAAAATAATTAGGTCCGATTATCCATAAATATGTTGATTATTTATGGTTATGTTACATATCATTTCTTATTATAACAATTGAATCGTAAATGTAATTTAAAAGTTAATAACTTTTGTATTTTTTATCAGTTTTACATATAGAATATTATCAAATTAATCATCTCTTGACGAGCTTCGATTTAACATCCATATTGAATGTATAAAATAAATAAATTATATTTACCTTTATAACAATAATAAAATTAATTTTAATATTAATTAGAAAAATAAAGTATTTATCAATTAATATATTTATATTTCAAGTAGTTATATAAGTTATAAAAATTACTATCATATAACACATGTAAGTCGCACAAGTAACAAGTGTCATTTTAAAATATATAACAATATATATTAATATATATTTTTTGTAAAAAAGTCAATACAATTTAAAATAATGCTTCTCATTAAATTTAAAATTTAAGAACAATTTTTTAACAAACACCCGTGTAATACACGGGTGTTGTACTATTTTATTATTATTCGTTAAATAGAGAATCTTAAGGGATTAATGCTTGAGTATGATAAAAAAAATATT